AATACAAAGTGGATGTAAAGAGACAAAACCCCTTCAGCCTGTAATCAACTGACTCTGCTTCTCCGCTCCGCTGTTGAACTCAGTGTCTACCACAAAATGTCAGCATTCCAGGGTTACCGGTGAGAAATAATAAGGACCAAGTTCTCTTTATTGTTAGCTTTAATGGCACCAACTGCAAGCCTTTCAACTTTATTGTTGACTTTGGAGTCACACAGAGGCAGGTGCATAGAGAGCCTGCGGGTGGATTCCTGCTCTCTCTCCCTCAACACACACACACACACCAAGAGAGAGAGAGCATTCTGCATCTAAAGATGTCAGTGGGAGAGTTCAAAACAAATGTCAACTACGTGAGGGACATTCAAACCAAGTGGAACCAGCTGAAGTTCCACGATTCAGTCATTTAAGTAAGAAAACACATGGATTAAGGGCGACTCTAGAAAAGGTTGAAGTACAGAGCGGAGCAACTGCAGCTCACAACTGGCTCCAGCGATGGGACACTTGGAAATACAGCATTTTACATTAAGGCTTTTGGACAGGATCATTTCTGAATGTTTATAAATAAGAATCTTGATTTGGACGCGAAATGGTTTTTGTTCCAACATCTCTAATAAAAGTTTTCCTGCGATGCCCACCATTGTGGTACAGTATGTTTTTCCAACATAGGCTACTGCCTTTCTTACTTTTATGAGTTAAAGTAGTAAACAGAATAAATTGCTGCTGCATTTCGACGCCCTCTGAGGATGGAGAAGCTGCTCGCAGCGAGAGATGCATGATCAATTTTCCCCGTCACATTCATTTTTAAAATAATATCAAACATCCAATAATAGCAACAAATTTCCATTAATTTTTTTGTCCAAAGGAGCTGAACAGAGTACCCCAGTAACATATAAACAATGCAATTAAACAATTACACTTAAATTAGGAACCTTTCACCTACTGTGGCCCTAATGTACATTCTGTCTGCTGTGGGTAAACCTGAACTGTTCACCTGTTTGTGCATAATCAAATGCTTGCTGAAGACATTATAATCATGAGGTTATGGACTTTTGCCTCGAACAAGACTCGTGGCTGTTTAAATGCTTTTTTGGAGGCAGAATCCACGAGACTGGAATGACAAGCGCTACTTCCGCCAAAGTTCTAATACCAGGGAGCCTTTCTCCAAATGAAACAACCAGAGGTTGGTAATGCTCCTTGAAAGAAATGTTTCTACTTTCCAGATCTGGAAGCACTCAACATTGCACTCTAGTGCATCGGTCTTTCACCGATGCACTCCGAGCTCCTCTTCAGCAGGCTGTCAATAACAAGATGAGGAAAATGTTCAAGTGTGAGATAATACTCAGATGCTCTGATCGGACATTTGATTACACAATGTGTTCTAATCTGTACGTAACATTTTAAATGTCTGTGTGCCTGCATGAGTTGTTACTACCAAACTTACTAAAGTACAAATAAACACACAAACACATCTCTCTTGTAAAAGCCACTGTTGAAAGGCTCAGGTCCTATAGTCCATCCAATCACCCAACCCTAGCACCTGCCTGTCTAATAAATCTGTTATGTACGGGCTGGTCAGCAGAGTGCTGTTCATGGTTGTTATGGCCACCAGCTCCAGGAGCCGGGATCACTCAGACCCGGTGATCAGCCCAAACACCGCCCCTCCTCCTCCTCTCCTCCAGGCTGCTGATGAGCACAGCTGACCTGAATCCCTCTGACGACCCACACCTGGGATAAAAAGGCTGTGCCATCAGCAGTCTGGAAGGCAGTAGTACAGGGGTTCTGCTGTCCTCCAGGCCTCGTTTTGCTTTGATTTGTAGAGTTTTAACTTGAATGGTTTTAACTCTGAGTTTGATGAGATTTTACTAAAAATAAAAAGGTGGAACTCTGAGATGATCCAAAGGGATCTTATGTTGATGTCAACTTAGATGAGTGCTGATCTTAATGATCTCTGGTTTTAGGACTTTAATGGTTAACTCTGTTCTGGTTTTAAGACTTTAATCAACTTTGTGGATTTTTAAACACCTTCAGTTTTGGTAAAACTTTTAACAAGTTTTAACCAGGTGTTTTAATTGTTAATAATTTATCTTTTACTGTTAACCTTTTGGTGAAATTTTTTGTTTGGCATTATTTTAATAATGCTCTCCATCTGTTTTCACTTGTTTTAAAACAGGGTATATACAGCAATCCTTAAGTAAAATTTACTACTTTTTAATACTTTTTTTTACTACCTTCAGAATTTTTTTAAAACCATCACAACACTAAATTGCAAGTGTTAATCAGCGACCTATTTACACATTTTTTAACATATATAACATACAAAAAGAATAGACTTAGAGACTCACTGATGTTGACAACGTATTGCACATATTTATTTTACTTAGAAAATAAGCCAGGCACTTCTGTTCAGTGGTTCAGACAGTTGACCACGAGGCCTGAAATGATGCACAACGACCACTAAATATGACGTCATCATTATGTGACCGGATATGCTAAAGTAGGGCTGCTCGATTATGGCAAAAACAATAATCACGATTATTGTGACTGAAATTGAGATCTCGATTATTTAAGACGATTTTTCAATTTATGTAGATTTTTATTTTTTTTATTTTTATTCAGTCATAAAACTGCTCAGGGCACAATCAGGGCAAAAATAAACAACAAGATGATCACTAAAATAACTCCTGATTCCCAGTATAAAAAGACCAATATACTTATAGCTCAGTTTATGACCCAAGGGCTATAGACCTTGGTTTAACTCATTTAACTCTAACCAGTACAGACCCAAATACCAATATCTTGCAAATACTGACAGCAAGAATTATACTGTGGCATTTATAACAAATAAATGCAAATTGCTGTTCACTAAATGTTGCATAGCATTTATTTAGTCGTGTCAAGGTGCTGTAGGAGAGTGCACTAGCACCGTGTCCTCAGAGAGATTAGTTATTATTTATCAGCGTGAGGAACTTATTTCTACCTTATTTATAAACTATTTATTTACAAGTCCATCAGTTAATGTAATAATTGTCCCAACCACAGCTGCACCCCCACCCCCCAACCCGGTCTCAGCAATCAGGGGCAAGCTGCACGTGTGTTTAGCGCGCCGCACGCACACATTTAGCCGTTTTTATCGGCTCAGGAGTCCGCAGGTGCGGTGTGTGTCACTCACTCTGGTTACTCCAACAGGGAGCCGGCTCCGAGAGCTGTTTCTTTAGCGAATGACACATCACTACATCATTCCCTTTCCTAATGTCCTGAAGAACGTCCGGAGTGCAGGCGGAGTTTAGCTAACCTGCAGGAAACGTCGACGATAGTTATCCAGAAAGTAGCTAAGGGTTACCAGAGATGTTTCTGAGGTGTTCGCTAGGTACTTTTAAGATTTAAAAAGTCAAGAAGCGGGTCTGAGAAGCTGTTAGAAATAGCGTCAAAGTCGCCAAGTTAACTTGGCAACACTGGGAGGAGCGCTTCATTTGCAACTCAAGGCAGCGCAAGTGGGAGGAGCAAATAATCGGCTTGTTTTGTTTTTATAATCGTTCAAAACACTTCATTCGGAATATATTTCTATGTCGATGTTCAGAATACGACATCTGATAGTCTGAAAAAAATAATACCTAATTTGGAAAAAATAATACCTAATTTGGAAAAAATAATACCTCTGAGACCAAATTTAACACTTTTAATGGCCTTAAATTTGACTATTTTTATTTATCACTTTTTAATACTTTTTAAAACCCCGCGGACACCCTGTAAAACCTTTTATGACAATTAAATACTTTTAATTCTACCGTTCCAAGTTCTTTTGTGACCACCTCCTTCACAATTTAACAACACAATTCGGGGTTGTAACAACGGTAACGTTTCTACTTACACAATCACTGAAACCCACTTTTAAACAAATAGCTTTAAGTGACTGTATTTTTTCTGGCAATAGGGGGCAGTAGATGCCTAAATCGTTGCAAGCAAGCAATGTTTTTGTGTTAGAGTAAGACCTTACCAACGGATAACCATTAAGATCAAAAAGCCCAGGGGAGTGCCAACTTTAGTAAAAAAAAGCACATTAGACACCCTTTCATCACTGGCAACAAGTGAAGAGGTTAATGTGTAAAAACAACATTTAGGAATGATGAAAGTTTTGTAACCATTGGTTACAAATCAGTAAATGCATTTTGTCCTCATGAGCTCCCGTAGAAGGAAACATGGCATCTAATATGGCGTCGCCCAGAGAGTTGAGGTGTTTCTCAACGTCAAGGCGCCTTGCTTGCGAGGACACTGTCCTTCCTTGGTCAGAGAAAACAGTTAAATGGAACAGACTTACATTGTGTGTCCGCAGCTTCCACAGCAGTCAGGTAAAGTTACGTGAGACGGGAGATAATTTATATATTTGATTTGATTATATTTTATACGTATACATTTCAATATAAATAAATAACGAGCCTTTTAATTTTAAATTAAATAGGAAACTTCTTTGGATCTTAAGAAAATATTTTAAATTAGTTGACTTACTTTTAAACTTGAAAGTTGCCCCCGAAGTAGCTGCCTGCTTCTGATTCGCCGTGCTTTTGAAAATACTGCAGTGTATTCTGGGTAATTTTTGATCAAGGCTAGCTAGGCTAGGCTCCCCTCATGTATCCTTGCTCAACTAACTAAATGGCTAACAAACGGAGAACACACGCCTTGGTAGAACGTGAACATTGGAACACATCTTGGTGGCTCCTGATGACGTATCTCCTAAGCAACCGAGGCGTGATCACGACATCAAGGTGAGGTTCCTTGGCATTGAGAAACACCCCAGTTAGACCCACTCGTGTATTTTATACCTGACTTTTATGGTTGTATGTTAAGAAGCCACCAATATTTTTCATACCTGGGCTCCATTTCATTCATTTTCAATAACATTTTGATGGATATTTACAGAAATGTTTTGGTACAAACTACACATTGTCTCATTAAAGAGTTAAAAAGTGCCCTGAAATGCTAAAGGACTGTTTGACATCATCCCTTACCTCATTTTGCAGCTCATCGTCACTTCTGTGTGAAGTCAGCATCTCGAACAGGGAGGTGCACAGCTCCTCTGGGTTAGAAGAAATCATGTTGCCTCTATCTAAGTATTTTTCCACTTCACTTTGAAGGATGAATCCATCACCAAAGTTCACAGATCTTCCACAGCTGGATGCATCTTCTTCACTGGCAACCTTCTTTCCACTCTGCTGGTTGTTTAGAAAGTTCATAAGTTGCTCACTCTCATCAAAGACACCAGAGCTTTGCAGGTCATCCAGTGGGTCCAATGTGTAGCAATCATAGCAGAAAGCAATGTTGCGTCCAAACACAGAACCCTGTTGTGGGTTGTGAAGAGACTTCTGAGTCCTAATAAAATCTTCCACTCTGGAGTCATCGAGTGGAGCCACCAGTCGAGTCACACAGGCGCAGGAAGCTTCAGCTGCAGATGATGGAAAAGGCCCAAACATCTGCTTGATGGCCCGGCTCTCTTCTGTGCCCACATGGTCTTTGTTGTGGAACATTTCAAAGAGAAAAGCAGCAGCACTTTCAATGGCCTCCTGACCATGTTCAGATCCAACTATTAAACAAAAAACAGATAATTAGCATATTATGTCTTTGCTGCAGTGGTTCAAACATCTCCTGTGGAAGTAGACCTGCCTTTAATCTTCAAAGAAACACACAAGCATGGACCGGTTGTTGGAAAATACTTATTTTTCTACAGCAAGAAATGAAAAAAACTTTTATTGGAAAAGTCGGAAATAAACTACAGACTTGGTAAAATTTTCCTGTTTAAACAAAATCTGTTTTCTACATGTGATGCGCTCATAACGATGTTTGGGTCAACATGTTTATGGTTAATTCTGAAAGCACGATTCCTCAGTTGTCTAACCCAGGGATTCCCAAAGTGTGGTGCGTGAGCTGCCGCTAGGGGGTGCGCGAGGTGAAAAGTGTAATGGCTGCGGAGCTCAGAGAAGTCTGTCATATGTCACCATTAGCGTAGCCAGAAACTCATTTGTGGGTGGGCCTAAGAAAACGTAAGTGGGCACAATAAATATAATTGAAAACAAGTATATTTTTGGGCGCGCGTGTGTCCGCCACATGTGTTCTAGCTTCATAATAACAATGCGCCGAGCTTCAGCACTCTGGCCTGCGCACGCCGATATGTTCCGTATTTGATCATTTTTAACGGTGTTGGAGAAATCTGAAGGTGGTGAGTCATTCTGGCAGATTGTAATTAACACCCTGTCTCATGCAGGTGTTCTGACATTGTAAACCTCACACACAGAACATTGTGGATGTAATAAAATAAAAAAGAAATGATTCCCATTCAGGCTATTAACAGCGTGTCAGATATCTGAAGTTCAGAGTGCGTCTGTCAGAGGTCAGACGCGTGCCAGCGGAACCACGGCTCACGGGTGCACAAGTGAGCACATCTGGGCTGGGCAGAAGTCATTTTACAAGATTGGTTTAAATAGCGCCATTAACGAGACGCGGTGACTGGAGCGGCTCATGGAGCTGTGCCGCGCGCGCGCGCGCGCACACACACACACACACATTCAATAAGAGCGCACGCTGCGCAAACTCCGGCGCCCCAGAAATGAGCGCTGCGTCCTCTGTGATAAAAACTTTTAAGAGGTTTTATAACATTTTTCATTCCAGGTCAAATTAAGATATTAGCTTCTATTTTGGGATGACGTATTAAAGTCGGGTCCGCTCCAGCAGTGACTCCGAACCTGACTACAACTCCTGTTACTGCAGCATTTGTTATTTCAGTCCGCGTGGCAGCGGATTGCAGATTCAGCCACCATAAAACAGCAATAAGTCGGTCTGAGGCAAAAGTGAACCTCATGGCTATATCTTTTCCATCTTTTCCCCCTATAGACATTTGATTACGCACAAGCAGGTGATCAGCTCAGGTTTACGCAGAGCAGAAGGAAGGAGAGAGCTCTGGCCGCACAGGTTAAACGTTCCTACTTTAAGAAAACCGTTAAATTGCATTGTTTATGCGCTACCTGGGCACTCTAAATATTTATTTAAAATTAAATCAAAGGAAATTGTAATGGTATCGAATGTTTATTAATTACTATTTAATAATGAAAGTGATGGGGAAAAAGGTCGATCATATTTTTTAACCCTGTCTGTTTAGCTTGATGTCTGATATATATATATATATATATATATATATATATATATATATATATAGCCATGCCCTGATGTGGGGGCTGGGGGGTGCGTCGACATGGTCGGGACATAGAAGGGGGTGCGCGGCTAAATAAGTTTGGGAACCACTGGTCTAACCCATCTTCAAAGGTGGCACATTAGAGGATGTGTTCCAACTAGGGCTGGGCGATATGGAAAAAAACCTTACCAAGATATTTTCATATCAGTCGATGTCATGATATAAAACAATAAGCTAAATATGTCAAACATTACATGACTGTTTTGGATAAATACTAGAGGAATAGTTCAAACTAAAATCCTCTTGCAATACAGGAGAGCAAAACAAAAATGGAAATATTCTTCTGTTGATGTCATAAATAAAACAAGCATTGAAATGTAAATTGTCAAAATCTCTGCCAGCTTAAATGGAACTACTTAAAGAATAAACAAAAAAATATATGGCAAAAAAACAAAATCCTCTTTATATCGGTGACATTTTAAGCTGATTTATTTCCTCTTTTTTTAGCTGCTTCTAGAAGCTGAGAGAGATGAGGGGGCAGATTGAAGATAACCTTATTTGTGAAAAAGTCAAATTTTGTAGTCAACCCTGAATTTTAACCCTAGCTAGAGTGCTGGAGGAGGGAATGGGAATCTGCCCGTGTCCCAGAGGCACTTTGGGGTGGATGGCCCTCTTATAAGGGCAATTCAGTCAATTTCTAGGGACAGTCTTGGGGTGGAGGGCAAAGTCCTGCAACAGAGGTGGGACTCCCGTAGGCGACCCATGTTAAAGTTGTTTCTTGGTTAGAAAAATATATAAATTAGATTTCACGGGTAAGGGCCTCGTGGAAGTGTCTTTATTGTGGGTGGGTTACGGGTGAGAAAGCAAATATATGATTCAGTTTTTCATGAATATATAAATAAAAGTAATCCTAACCTATCTGTGAAATCCCACCCATGTGGTTAGGCAAGCTTAATTTCAAAGAAGAAGTAACTGAAAAAATCGTTTAAATATGCATGTGAGCTAGCAAATTAATATGAAACAACATGAAAGAAAAACTGGATATAAGTGAGTATCCTCCTCGTAACGTGAACTCAAACGTGGCAAAACTCTCAAATGGTCAGGAATAATGACATAATTAGTGTTTTGTATTGTATTGTATTTGTATTGGTCAGTGGTGGCTTTTAAAGAAACGGGCTAAGTCAGGTCCGGGTTTGACCTGTAGATAACTGGCGATACCGGGTTGGTTTTAAAACCGTGAGTGCGGGTGGGTAAAACTGGACCCGTGCAGGACTCAGGTGGAGCGTTGAATTTGGTGACTGGAGGATCTCGTCTCTACTTTTGTGAATGATGTGAACATCATGCTTCATAAAACTACGACCTTCAGCTCTTGAAGAGTCAGATGTTTGATGATCTCTAGTCTGGTTCAGATGTAGGGAGAGAAGAATTTCTGATTTTTCAACTGTAAACAGAAAGCATCAACAAACATATCAACTGTAGATGAAAACATTTTATTTTTACGAAAAAAATTCATATTTTCTAACTGAATCTGGAGCGTTAATCTCAGTTTGGTTTGGTTGTGTTGTAAATATCAGGCTGAATGCTGAAGCTTCTCTTCAACATAAATTAAAACAAAGAAATACGCCGCAGCCGGCCAGAAGACTTCTCAACTTTGAATAAAGTGAGATATGTGAACTGTCACACGGTAGCATGTGGTTCAGAATATAATAAAACTAATGAGCTGTCACTGTGGGAGAATTTTCTACTAGACTGAACCATGAGCCACAATGAACAGCAGGAGCCTCATTTAAATAATATTCCAAATAACATCTTTAACTAGATAAAATCCTAAGAAAAAGTGTCCAATTACAGGAGAAATGTTGGGAAGGCAAAGGGAAAGCTGATTGAAGCATATGGGAGAGAAGACTTTCATCCAAATAAAGGTCAAAGGTATCAGACTTGTTGGTGAAAAACAGTAGCGTTCAGGATTTCATGAGAAACATCCACATAGGTTGTCAAAAAGATAAACACTAAAAACTGGAGCCTTAAACACACCAGAATGAGTCCCAGGTGGTGCAGAACTATAGAAACATCAAGAAAAATAAATGCAAACGAGTTCTATGTAAAATGTAAATGTAAATATGTAAAATAAGAGAGGTATATTTTCTTTAAACAAGTCGGCTATTTGTTGTAGTCAACTGTTTAGGAAAATACAAACAACCTCAGTGACGATAGTCCACATGTTTACTCAGAACTAATCTCCATTTGTCTAAACCAAGGTCATTCAAAACAGGTACGACAGCAACTGTTCAACGCCTTTCTCCAGGAACCACCTTCAAGATATCTGTGGCCTCAGAAAAACTTTGTGCTGAATTCTTACCTAAAATCTACTTAAGCGTCACTTCCTGGAGCTAAATGATTTTGCTCTAAATATTCACATACATAGGATGGCTTGTCAGGCTATTTAAGCTCAGCTAAAATCCTTTATTTGAACAAAATAACTGAAAACACTGCAAATGCACACTCAATTTCTGCTTCATAAATCACACTAGTATTATTAGAGTTAGGGTTACTAGTGGGATTTTGACTAGACACACGCACCTGACTGTCTTCATGCGCTCTCACACCAAACCTCCAGCATGTCAGACTGGTGAATAATAATAGTTCATATCTGAGCGACACGTTGCATCATGCTGCTGTACACACTCTCTACAGCACCGCTGGACTGGACTAAATAATTATTATACAGCAGGTTGTGCAAGTTCACTACAAGACAGATTTGTATGTCTCTATTAACTTTTATATATTTGACAAAAGTTTGCACTGATATTGCTCTATTCTTGTCAGTATTTGCAGTATTTGTTATCAACATTAATTAAAGATCGCCTTAAATAATCGAGATCTCAATTTCAGTCAGAATAATCGTAATTAGGGCCGGGCGATGAACCGAAAATGTAACATTCCTAAATTTATGACTAACAGACGTTAGTTTTGTCATGTTGGTAAATTTGGTAATAAAAAAATTAAAAGACGTGAGCAGGTTATAAATGTTCAAGTCCCTAAAAGAAGCACAGACCAGTAAAGTCTGCGTCAGGGCTAGTCACATGACTCCACCCCATCCAGTAACAAGGAAAAAACAGGAAATGGAGAACGATTCAAATATGAAAGCATTGGGCTTCTTGTAGCTCGTCATTCTGAGTCACTCGCTATTCGCGGGCGGTGGCTGCTTGCCGTTTACAGTTCGTAGCTGCTTGTGGTAGCTCTCTGCCAGGTGATGCTCGCTGTCCGGGGTGCAGCACTCCACGGTTAATGGCTTGTACCCTTGAGCGATTATCAGCAGGCTACAAGCAGCAGCTTGTAGCAACTTTAAAGTTCTTAGTAGGGATGGACAATATATCGGCATCAATATCGGTATCAGCCGATGTTAAGTCATTTTTTAACAAATCGGTTTGATAAATAAAACCGGATCGATATTAACAACCAATATTTTTTCCATCTCGTCTCCATTTGGTTGCCTGTTTCAGAGGGTGAGGGGGGTGACGTGTGATTGTTTAGTCATGTGAACAGTGAATGAAATAATCTCAGAACCGTAAATGTGTGTGTTGTGTGTGTACATAACGTAATTTCAGCTTTAATAATTTTCATTCTATACAAAATCTTCTGACTTCAGAAGCATTAATGTCAGACTCAGTATATCGGCCATAATAGTGATCTTAAAATCAGATATCGGTATCTGCCCACAAATTTCATATCTGTGCATTACTAGTTTTTAGTACTTAGTTTGAAGTTTTTAAAGTAGAAATGAACAATATTTTTAATCAACAGAACTGGGGGAGTAATACTATCAATAAAACTGTCTGTGGAGCAATTAATAATTATTCTAACAGGTGATTAACGCAATCTTCCAAAGTTTGGACCTCGCCTGTGATCTGGTTTGAACGATATTCTCTCTGCAGTTTCAGCTTTTTCTCCCACTTCTTAAAAAGTTTATGTCCAAAAACAGCTCCACTCTCCCTCCTGTCAATGGAGGGGAAAGGAGTAGGAAAAACATCCAACCTTATTGGCCAGCTAGCCAGCCAGCCCCGCAGCTGGAAAAATTCCTAGGGGAAACACTGAGTAGGCTTTGGTTACTGGACCTCAGGGACCTGCTGGGAGTGTAGGCACTGAGAAGATCACCAATGTATGATGGTGCTTGTCCATGTAAGGACCTAAAGACCAGAACCAGGATATTGAAATGAACCTGTAAAGCAGTTCAGAAACTCAGCATAGCAATGTTCCTGAGATTAAAGAAGGAAGAATGACCAAGAGAACTGATATGAGAATCCAGGGCGAGAGCTGGGTCAAAGGTCACACCAAGATTGCTGACAGAAGGTTTGGTGTGAGAAGCGAGTATTGTTTTGCTACTGTGCCTCGTCCGTGTGTGTGTGTGTGCTTGTGTGTGTAAAGAAACCATGTACAGAATATGACAATTCATGAGCAAAGTCCAAATAAATAAACAAAATAAACAAAATAAAAAATTGAAAAAGTCTGAGGGTGAGGATGAAATTACCAATATTTTTAGCTGCCATAAGAAGACTCTTCAGCTCCTGATTGGTAGCTTGTTGTTCACCCTTGTCCTGGAGCTCAGTACAGAAACGAACGATCTTCTGCCATGTCAGGCCCTCTTTAGCAAAGAGCTCCTGTCTCTTCAGACGCTTGGCCTACCAGAGTCAGAAAGAGAACATCAATTACTTTTTATATAACTAACGGATGTCATTAATAGCCTGGATTAATTTGGATGACAGTATTCAACTTACAGTATACTTCTTTAAAATTCTCACGTGTAACGTGATGAAGGAGCTATTCCTCCAAGGTTATTTAACCTTTTCCACAGCTGTTTTTGACACAGCGCCAGATTGCATGAAACAGCCTCAAGGTCATGTATTCGATTCTAAACTGTTTACTTTGCAGCAATGAAGACAGAAGATGAAGAGACTCTTTTCTTTTATTAAATCAAAGAACTCTATTTTTAATAAAGCTAATCAAAACAACTGTTAGTCAATAATACAATGTGACCGATCTGTGAAATCACAATATTATGATTAATATATTTTTAATAAGTAATATGACAATCTAGTTCACTAGACACACTGACACACGTAAGGAAAACAATCACATGACACATTGCTGTACTGATCCAATCAGAACCTTCTTAGTCTGAAGAATGGCAGAGTCTCTGTGGTGTTTATAAATCTGTCAGCTTTGATTCGTCCAGAATCAAAAACATCCAGATTAATAAAACAGTTCCAACACCATCTTAAGTTCAGTTCTCAAGATCCCATGAAGTTCACCGCATGTTAAGTGAAGTATGGACCGGCCATTCTGTACTTCTCTTTTTAAGCTGAAAACCATCAAGCTGGGAAAATTCTGTTGTTTTGTGAACCAAGCAACGGTACCTTTGAGAATAAAAGCTGAACTCGCTGACCCAAGGAGGGTCCCCTTTTGACGCTGTGAAACACCTGTCGCTTTTTACCTGGAGACTATCCAAAGACTGGTTTGTCATACTGTCGACGCTGTTTCAACGGCTCCAGTACCAGAGGAGGGTCGTGGACCTGGCATCCGGATCTGTACGGAGGTCTCATTGAGGGTATGTGGATGCAACATAAATGGTGTCTCATGTGTTTATGACTACGAGTCTCAAACTCTGATCAGTTAGGAGCAAAACATCATCTCCCACTCAAGACTTTGTTTCTCCGGATACGAGGGTTCTGAATAACACTCATTCACACACACCAACCATCTCACACCTCATTCAAACAGAGCATCCATCATTAAGAGAGTTAGTATTGTTAAATTGTTTAAAATTACTTAGTAACAAATTTCCTTAAACGTTTGAAGGTCTCTCTCTCTTCTCTTGTCTCTCAGTTAATACAAAGTGTTATCTAAATTCCCTGCAATAAAAATATCCAATCTTCTGATTTAAATAACCCGGTGTCCATAAGATGGAATTCATACTCGATATGAATTTTTAATGTTTATGGTCCTTAATTAAATGTAATTAACACTCATTACATTCACTTGTTTTTCCCATTCCTAGCTGTAATCAGAATGCCTTGCAAATAGTTTTCTGTAGAAAAAAAGCTCTGGTGCTCTTGTCTCAGGATGCAAAAGTTTGTCGAAGGAGTGGAGGGGGCATTTCAAGTCTTACTCGTTAATATTTACTCAATAATACTTTATACATGTAACGTTTTGTAAGTACTGATCATTAGTGCAAGCCGGAGCATCACTGGTCTCAACTGACAGAGCAGAAGATGCTCCGGCTTGCACTACCGAACCGATCAGTACTTACAAAACGTTACACCTTGGATTGGAATACAGCAACAACACTCTTCTGCTTAATCCAGAGCATGTTCTGCCATGTTGTGAAGTTGCTAATGCTAATGGTTAGCCAGCTGTGTTATCTCCAGGCCACAGAATAATTACAGCCTTCCACAGTGGCAAGTAGCGTAGCAAAGATTATACATTTTGGTGGTTATACATTTTGGTGGTACGATTATAGTTTGAGGAATAATCACGGTTTCATGATTATTTTATATGAATGTATCTCACATCTGTATCAACAGATATAAATCGCACCAAGTGTGATTTTTACAGAAAAAAGGATGCTATTTTTGAAGCAAAATGCATTTCATACTGCAGGTACATAAGCACCGACTGTAGTTTTGCAGACGCCTGTATTAACTCATTCACTGCCATTGACGACTAAAGTCGTCATTTTAGATCCAACCGTTCACTGCCAATGACGACTAAAGTCGTCATTTGCATTTTTTTACTGTTTGAGCATCGGAACGAGCCCCCGCACTGAGAGAACAAACATCTCAGCCCTGAAGCCGATTTTCATCCGCACAAGTCACACGTCACATGATCAGGAAGCAGACCATCCAAGTACTAGGAGATCGTTTTGGGCCGTTGCTGTAAAAAAAAGTGAGGCGCGAACCGGAAAAGCGTCTGCCGATCACAATTCAACAACAGATTATGGAAGAACGGATAACGCTCGAAACACGCGGCTTCTTCCTGATGTAAGAGGTGAGTCTCCGCTTTGTTTTGGTTGTTTTGGCATCGACATAATCCTAGCGCGCAAAGTTCTGTGACTCTTAAAAAAACAGTAAAAACGGTGAGAAACGCTGGCAGCGAAGGCCGTTAGCGATCAGGAAACGGCTGGCAGTGAATGAGTTACACTTGTTTTAATCCTCTCTCATTAGAACAGTGAGATATTACATTTGAGCAGGTCTGACAGTTCAGGGCACAGAGTCCAGGATAAGAACTTAGCTATAATCAGCCTCTCTATATCTTCTGGGAGTAAGCTTTTTAGCACAAGCTGAGAGATAATCTCACATTGACTTCAGCCATCGTTTTCTTTCAGAAGCACTTTCGTCTGCCTAGAGGATTTAATGAGTGCTGAGCTAGGTAAAAGGGAAGGTCTGAATATTTCTCCAAGTTTCATTTCAGGTGTCAAGCAGAGCCTCAGGCAGATAAGTTAGGAAGACGTTTGAATTTTAAAGAAGGACAATGATACATGGTCATTTAAGCAAACAGAAGAACTTTAAAGCCCATAAACCAAAACCTGCAGTTCATGCATCAAGGTGTTTTCCCCAAAACAAAGGAAAGATTAACATTTGACAATTTTACAAGCTGTTTAAATAGTTGAATAAAATCTGGTCTTTTTCTATACCCAGGGTGCCAAATGATGGTCCTGGAGGGCCGGTATATGGCATGTTTTAGGTGTTTCTCTGCTCCAGCACACTTGATTCAGTGGTTAAAACACTTGCTCAGCAGCTCACCTAGCTCTGCAGAGGCATGTTATTCACCTGCTGTTTGAAATCAGGTCGTTTTCCTTGTCAACTTTGTTTATTTCTGCATCAACTGTTATCAATGGTTATGTGCAGCGTTGAGACTTGAGAGTAACGATGTTATGGTTTAACTGCATTACTAACGGCTTTCCTTTTTAGGTAACAGAGTAATCTAATTACTTTTCCCATTTTCTTCTTTTTACAGAAACTCAAAACAAGCAAAGAGGCAAATCTACAAATATTTTTAAAGTTTTATAGAATAATTTTAGGATTACCTAGATTACTCTCCATCCATCTATCCATTTTCGGCCACTTATCCGAAGTCGGGTCGTGGGGGCAGCAGCCTAAGCCTGAGGCCCAGACTTACCAGGCAAGCCAAGAGACATAGGGTGTGTCTGAATCCACGGGTAGGATGCTTATGAGTACGGGTCCTCGCTGGTCTAGCAAGGCCGGGTCCTTGCCAGACCGCTAAAACCCGAACCCAGCGGCTCTGAATTCAGACAGTCTAGCCTTCACCTCTATGGTGGCCTGTAGGTCCCGTCACAGCCGTGGCGGCAGCTACACGCAAAGGAAAAATGCTGAAGCTAGCGAAAACCGAGCAGGAATATTAAGGAGCTACAGCAGCTTCACGTCCATCAGCAGCGTTTGCTCACAACCGTTTTCAAGTAAAGTAACTTTGTTTATTCTAGAAGCTTTCAGGACTTACATGTTAGCTTCAGATCGTTTCATGTATGTTTTAAGCTACAGAATTAACTTGTTAAACGTACACAACACATTACTACAGATTATTAACGTTAAGGTAATTAATATAAACCAAATGCATTCTAAATGTTGAATGTAGTAGAAAGTTTTCTAATGTAAATTGGACCTTAGAACTTTTAAGTTTGCATCAAATGCGGGTAAAACGTTTTAAAAAGAGGCTTTTAAATAAAATAGCATTGAAGTGTTTTCAATGTACATTAGTTTATTCAACTTAATCCTAATAATGATTAGATTTGTCTTAAAAATGTAAATTCTCTGTAGTTTTTAATTCAACTATTCTCTGCTGCTTTTCTTTAAACAGAACAGAACCAGTGTACTGCAGGTGAAATGGTTTGTTTTACATTTTTCAATTTAAAAAAACCCTCTTTTTAAAATCTATTACAGGTCAGCATTCACTGTGCTGCACACCTGCCTCTGTGCTGGTGAAGTTGTGGGTCTGGAGGATGAGCCTGAGGAAGATGTGTGTTGAGGTCAGTGGTGCTGTCCTGCAGGAGGTACCAGCAGACCACCACTACTGTTAACAGGCAAGTCATCTATGTAGGAACATCTATTAAAAACAACACTGTGGTTTTATTTGCTGAAGAGTCACAATTGTTATACTAGTGGATCCATAAACCATCTCCTCATTTCATATTTCTGAATACATCTTAGAGATGTAACAGCCGTCGTCTGAGCCAGCCCAGCAGTCCCTGTAGATGGATGATGGAGAGGACAGTGAGAGGAAGCATCCCAAAGCTCTCTCTGCAGACCGTCAGGGTTTCCCTTACATAAGCGTAGCTCTCTCTTCACCACGACAGATCGGTACAACGCCTGCAGTACTGCAGACGCAGCACCAATCCGCATGTCGATCTCGCGCTCCAACTTTCCCTCACTCCTGAACAAGATCACGAGACACTTAAACTCTAATTGAGGAAGGACCTCATCCCTGACCCTGAGAAGGCATTCTACCCTTTTCCAACTCAAGACTATGGTCTCTGATTTAGTGGAGCTGATTCTCATCCCAGCTGCTTCACACTTGGCTGTGAAACGCTTCAGTGAGAGCCGGAGATCACATTCTGATGAAGCCAACAGGACCACATCATCTGGCATTATGGCAGCAGTAGCTCAACAGGTTGAGTGGGTTGTCTAGTAATCGGAAGGTTGCAGGTTCGATCCGGACATAGAATTCTGCTGTTGTGTCCTTGGGGAAGACACAAAACCCGCATTGCCTGCTGGTGGTGGTGGTCGGAGGGACCGGTGGCGCCTGTGCTCAGCAGCCTCACCTCTGTCAGCGTGCCCCAGGGCAGCTGTAGCTGCACCATAGCTCATCTTCACCAGCGTGTGAATGTGTGTGTGAATAGATGAATGATACATTGTAGCCTAAAGCACTTTGGACGCCTCCGACTCTAAAAGGCACTACACAAGTGTGGGTAATTTATCATCTGCAAAAAGTAGAAACCCGATCCTCAGGCCACCAAAACAGATCCCTTCAGCACCTTGGCTGTGCCTAGGAATCTTGTCCTTAAAGGTTGTGAGCAGAATCTGTAACAAAGGGCAGCCTTGGCGGAGTCCAACTCTCATGGGAAACAAGCTCGACCTACTGCTGGCAATGCGGAACAAGCTCTGGCACAGGGGCCTAACAGCCCGCACCAAAACAGCCTCAATGGTCCTCCCAAGGGGTGCGGTCCAATGCCTTCTCTAAATTCACAAAACACACATAGATTGGTTGGGCAAACCCCCACGACTCCTCAAGGACACCCCCCCACCCCCAGACTTTAGATAAAACAGTATAACGTTAATTACATTTTAAAAGGTAGTAGTGAAACGGGCATCACAGCTTAGCACAACTGCAGCTAGGACTGGGCGATATGACGATTTTAGACTGTTTTACGATCCACACATCTGACGGTCTGTCATTTTTGAGAGACCTTTTTATCCCGATTCACAGCTCTGCTGTTGAAATTCTGCCTCTGAATGAAAAGGGAACTTACCCCAGGCGAATGACACGCCTTTGTTTGACCCTTAACCAATCAGAGTGAGTCATAGTAATATATTAGTGCCCCGCTTGTTTTCACCTGTGTGTGAACAAACATGGCTTCGGCCGCGGCTGAGAGCAACAACGAGATTTTCGTTCCGAAGAGGAACGCCTCGTTCATTATATGGAACTGGTTTGGTTTTTCACCAGATGACAAAGAGCAGCGAAACGTCATTTGCAAGGAGAGCGTCAAGGCAAGTGATGGCAACACCACAAACTTGTTTAATCACTTGAAAAGAAGGCATCCCAAACAATACAATGAGAGCCAGCTGGCAGCTAAAGCTAAAAAGCCTGCGGCTACAGCGGCTATGCTTCTTCCAGGCAGCAAACGCTAACAGAAACTCACAAAACTCACTCCCTATGACAAGTCCGCAAGTATTTTTCGAACACCGCCATTCCACGCATGTACGCTGAATGCAAAGTGAGAGTTGCAGAAAATATTCAGAATGGGCAGTTATTTGCTACCACAAGCGATCTCTGGTCCAGCCGCAAATCAGAGCCGTATTTGAGCTTAACTATCCACTACATGAGCAACTGGGAGCTACATAGTATTTTGAACAAATTAATGTTTGCACAATACGTTTGCAATTGACATGTTTGCACTTTAAATATGTTTACGATTTTAATTTAAGTTAAGTTACTTGAAAAACGAGAAAAACAGATTTTTGTAATTGCTTCTCTCAGGGCTTTTATCATCTCTGGTGTGATTACAGATATTTACGAGTTTTACTCGTTTCATGCTCGTATTCGTCAAAAATGCTTTATCCGTACGCTCATCCCTAGCTGTAACCACCCTGTCTCCTCCTCCTTGCTGCCTGCCAGCTGTGATAACAAGCAACAACAGAGTAGTTCCCGCTGGTTCTTCGGGAAACAGCGCAAAAAATAAAAAATTAAAAATTAAAGCTGCAAGCAGCGTCGTTCGGCCCTCGCAGTGAAGCTGCTCGCCCTCCTTCCGCGCCCCCTCCGCTCCATCCCCTCTGCTCTCCAAACCCAGCTCCGCGCTTCTCCATCCTGGCCGGCAGACGGGGGAACCAGGGCACGTCTGGCGGAACAGAAAGTCAACCACCCCGACACCAGAAACCGTGAACGGCCTCCTCGTCCACACCTCACCCTGACTCAGCATCCCCTCTGAGCCCAGCATTACACGTCTCACCACTAGGAGATACTCTATCTTTACCACACTGGTGATGTGATGTTCAGTCTCGGGCAAATCGGAGGCTGTTCGTGGAAGTTACAGTCAAACGTAAGGTCACAGCATCACGCCAGAATTTGCCATGGCATCAAAGCCCCTCCCTTTCTGAAAAGCTATCAGATCTGAATGGTCATTACAACATCATGAAGACAGTGCATGACCTTAGTGTCATGTTGACTAAATTAGAGGGGACAAATATGGGCATTTCACCATAAAAAATAGACTTCCTGTAGTCAGGGGGCGGGGCTTAGGTGATGTCAGCTGTCCACATTGTCATTGTCTTTAGATGTGGTCAATGAACACACAGACACAGTTTGATATAGATCTGATCATGCACATGGGAGTTGTTAAGTCAAGTAATGTAATGGCGAAAGGTCAAAGTTTGAGGCTTAGCCACGCCCACACCTTTCAACTTTTGAAAAATCCGACGGTTGAATTTTTTCCCCTTTGTCTTAAGAGTATATAGCAGAAGTCTGAAGGCGATTGATGAAAAGGGCGATGGTGCAACACTCTCCAAACAATGTGAGCGAAAACCACTAAATCGAGTACTTGGACCAAAATGGCCGACCTCCTGTGCGACATTGCACTTGGCTCCAAGAGACTTTTTTGTAGGTCCTGAGACACTACATTAGTGTGCCAAATTTCGTGATCCTCAGTCAAAGCATGGCTTGGGGCTGACAGTTTTAATGGTCCTAGGGGGCGCTATTTCAGAAAATAGGCCATGCCCACAAACTTCAGATGTCCAATTCTATTAGTCGTCTATTAGTGTCTCTTTAACATGGAATATTCGAGTTCTGTGTAACTACCTGCCAAGGGAACAAAGACAATTTTGAGGTTTTCTAAAAACTGTCACATTTGTTTGTGTAAATCTCTAATCTCGAAGATAGTTTATAATAAAAGCTGAAAAGGAGTTTCCGATTAAGCCAAAACATGATTTACTGAGCCTACTCTTTCAGTTTCATTTAGTAATTTGTTTTCTTTGAGTTAATGATCCGCTGTCTGGCCTCACCTTCAGATCATAGAGCTCCTCAGGTGGCTGGTCTGTCTTGCTGACGCTGGAGAAGGAACGAAGAGCTCCCGTGAGCCTCGGAGGAGACATCCTTCTGGTCTGCTTTCCCCTCTCCTGCTTCACTCAATACAACAGAAAATACAGTCACTTTTTAACCCACTGGAATAATCTTATCACACACACTTCACAGGCAAACACCAAAGGAGTAACAACACGAAAGTACTAAACAGTAAACGAAACTAATCATAGTGACCTGTGCTTAAGAAGGTGATCCAGTGCTGTGGCGGCTGTACTGCCAAAAAAGCTGAGAAACTAAGCGCGATAAACGTATAACATGCATGCCGTATTAAATAATATACCTTCAAGTTTATGTAGTTCTGAAGTTGTGTGTTTTATGAGCTAAGCAGACTGGAGAGATGGGTGCACGTGCCATATTTACGTGGTAACAAACATGGAGTTTGGTCTAGTTATGAAGCATGTCGCGACTAGCTGCTTTTAGCTAGCACGTCTCAGCTTGTCAGCACTTCCTTAGCCGTGTTTTCTTCCCTACTGTGTGTAAACTCCGAGGAAATCGGTTCAATAATTCAGACACACTCACAACATACGGTTTACTGGAGTTGTGCTCTAGTTCCCACTGTGCCGAGTCAGAAATACAGACGTATGCTGTTACTACCGGTAGATGAACCGCGCATGCGCTCAAAACAAGGAAATAAGGGTTAAAGACTACAATACCCAGTGAAACATTTTACAATTCATTGCATACACGCTCCATTGCATTGTTGATTTGTTCTAATAAATGTCCACTCGTTCAAACACACACGTAGTCTTGTGCTAAATAGTTCTGTATGTAGGAAACACGTTTGCATTTCCAACACCACTTGAACGCGACGTGATCTGGGATGACAGAATGTTGCTGATGATGGAGAAAATACAAATTTGATCCTTTAAATTGTGTCAGGAAGTTGAGGATTTTTTTACGGATGTGTATGTTAGATCTGGAGTATGCATTGTAATTACGAAATCATGTGGTCCAAATCAGATTGCTGCAGAGCAAACACTAGTCACAGCAGTTCTTGCTTTGTGTTTCTGTGCATTTCTGAGACTGGATAGTATTGAAAAAATTATTAAAGATGTCTGTTTTAAAGGTTTCTATATTTTACTGCTTCAGAAAAACTACTGCTAACCACATCTTTGACTAATTTAGTGTTCAAAGTGTTTGAACAAGTTATTTTTGAAAAACATTATTTCAAAAATCTACAATAGGCAAGCATCTTAGTAAGAAGAGATCAACTGTTGGAACAATTATTAGAAAATGGAATAAATATAAGATCACTGACAATCTCCCTCAACCTGGGGCTCCATGCCAGATCTCACTATGTGGAGTACAAGTGACCTTGAGAACAATGAGCCAGAACTACATGGAGGAAACTGAGAGCTGGGACCACAGTAACAAAGTTTACTATTAGTAATACACTATATCTTCATGGAATACAATCCTGCAGTACTTGGAATGTCCCCAGCTTAACCCAGGACATGTCCATTCCCACCTAAAGTTTGCAAGAGATCATCTGGATGATCTATAGGAGGATTGTGAAAATGCTAAGTGATCAGATGAGACCCAAATAGAATTGCTTGGTATAAATTGCCACTCACTGCACCAATTTCCTAGTGTGATTTCTCACACAAAATGGCAACAAACCCTTCTGACTGTGACTCTGAATGCTGCGTTTAGAGACAGAAGAATGCTGAGTTGCATCCCAAGAACACTATACCCACCGTGCAGCGTGGGGCTGGAAGCATCATGCTTTGGGGCTGCTTTTCTGCAAAGGGCACAGGACGACTGATCTGTACTAAGGAAAGAATGAATGGGGTCATAAAAGGTGAGATTTTTGACAAAAAACTTTTTCCACCAGTGAGAGCATTGAAGATGAAACATGGCTGAATCTTTCAGCATGTCAATGATCCATAACACACCACCCAGGCAACAGAGAATACACATTTCAAGGTTCTGGTGAGGTCTCCAGACTTTTCCACAGAGAATCTGTGGAGTTGAAAGTCCATGTTGCCCAGGGACTGTCACGGACTGGAGAGAGAGCTGAGCGCGCGTCCAGCACAGCCACAGAGAGTGGTGTTTTGGTCGACCCAAATGCGGGAGCTGGGGAGGAAGTCTGTGAGTTGAGGAGAGAGTCCAACTAATTTGCTAAGGAGCAAGGCTGAGTGAGGAGCTCGAGGAGAGACAGAGAGGCGTCAATGACTGAGCATCAGATAGGTGAGTGGGAGACAAGTAGGCTGATGAGATGATGAGATGAGTGGTAACAGGTGTGAGTGATGTGAGGGAGGAGGCACTACTGCCTGACAGAACAGAGCCCAGCGGGCTTGGCGGGGGTTGAGCTATTTTGCGGTCTGAAGGTGGATAAGGTTCTGATGGTCAGTCCATATATGAAAAGGCTCCGCGGTCCCCAGAAACCAGTGACGCTATTCTTCAAGTGCCCACTTTATGGCCAGAAGTTCCCAGTCGCCGACTCCATACCATTGTTGGGTTGGAGAGAACTTCCAGGAGAAGTAGCAGCAAGGTTGGAGCTTGTTATCAGACCTCCGTTGGGACAGGACCGCACTCGCTCCCACCTCGGAGGCATCCACCTCAACCACAAAAGACTTCAGGGTCGGGGTGAAGAAGGATGGGCACAGTGGTGAACAGGGTTCTCAGACGCTGGAAGGCCTGGAGGCCCTCAGGAGGGAGAACAAAGGGCAGAGGAAGGTTGGTGGGTTTTGTTAGGGTCGTGGGGGAGGCGACCACCGTGGTGTAATTCCTGACAAAGCACCGGTAAAAATTGGCAAAGCCCAGGAAGCTCTGAAGGCACTTTAAGCTGGTGGGAAGAGCCTACTGGGCCACAACCTGGACCTTGAGAGGGTCAGTGGAGACTCCGTCTCAGGAGATGGTGTACCCCAGGAAGTTTGTGGTGTGCTGGTGGAAGGAGCATTTCTCCGGTTTGCAAACAGGTGGTTGTTGAGGAGACGACTGAGAACAGCTCTGACATGCTGGATGTGGTCTACCTCGAATTGGGAGTAAACAAGGATGTCATCGAGGTGCACAAACACCCAATGACCCATGTCCCGCAGCACATCATTTATGAGGTGCTGGAACACTGCGGGACTATTGCACAGGCCGAAGGGCATCACAGCGTATTCCCAATGACCGGTGGGCGTTATAAAAGCCATCTTCCACTCGTCCCCCTTTCAGATCGAGTTTGGTGAAGAAGCGGGCACCGGGCAGGGAGTCGAGAGCAGTGAAGGGGAGTGGTAATAAGTTGCGGTTCTTTATGGTGATTTTGTTGAGGCCCCGGTAGTCAATGCAGGGTCGCAACCCTCCGTCTTTTTTCTTTACAAAAAAGAACACTGCTGCTGCCGAGATAAGGAGAACAGGTGTCTTTTGGAGGGCACCGTACCCGGAAGGAGGTCAAAGGCCATGCCATAGTGTCTGTGAGGAGGGAGGTTGGCGGCGTAGACTTTACTGAAGACCTCCTTCAGGTCATGATAGACAGGAGGGACAAGGGACAGATCCACAGAGGCTGTCAGAGGCGATGGTTGTGGGGCCAACCTGGGAACAGCAGGGAGAAGGCATCGAGATGAACAGTCCCGGCCCCAGCCCAAGATGGAACCAGTCGACCAGGAAATGTGGGGGTCATGTAGCCGGAACCAGGGGAACCCCAGAATGAGAGGCGTGGCAGGAGCGATTATGACCAGGAACTGGATGATCTGCTGGTGGTCACAGACATGGGCTGAGTTTGCCTTAATGGGGAATGGCTGCAGTGGGTGGCCGTCCACGGCCGTGATGGGAATGTGACAGGTGACGGGAACCAGGGGTACCTTCAACTGGACGGCCAGGCCATGGTCCATAAAGCTATAGGCAGCCCCGGTATCCAGGAGGGCAGGCATCTCAGTCAGGGAATCGCCATCTGGGAAGCACACCTGGATAAGGAGTCTTGAAGGGGCAGGAGGTGATTGAGCGCCAGGTAGGACGCCCCCTAGGTCCTCCTGGCGGTGGTGTTTTCTGGCCATTCAGGACAGGCAGCTCACCGGTGTTGCACACAGTACACAGTAACAATGTCTATGAATCGCCAAGGTCGGGTGCTTGTTTCAGTATGTTTACATTCCAGGAGAAGAGACAGAAGAAGAGAAGAAGAACGCTTTTAATTAATCAAAGTACTTTATTTGTGATAAAGCTAATCAAGCATATGTTGATCAATAATAATCAAGTGAATGATCTGTGAAATTAAGATGTCATGATTTATGTGTTTAATGAATAAACAGGACTCTGCACCAGACAGACTGATCAACATAACATAGAAACGCATGACACATTTGCTCTCATCCAATCAGAACTTTCGTCTGTCGTAGGGCAGAATCTGGGCTGTTTACTTAAGTTGTCCAATCCAGTTTCTAAGATTTATAAACAACTAAGTGATATAAAACAAGGCAACGCCATTTTAACCTCCGTTCCATCTTAGCCTCAGTTCGGTTCGATCTGAGTTCCAAAGGAGTTACATCTGAGAATCAACAGTTCAACCAGCTCTCATCGTCATCGCTAAGAGAAGTGCAGCCTGGCCAGTGCACTTTCTACTTTAAGCTGAGAACTGTCAAGCTGTAAATTTCTGTCGTTTGAACAACAAGACGACGGTTCCTTCACAATAAGAGCTGAACCCGCTGAGATCTGCTGCTACTGCCGGAGCTATCCGTAGACTGGTTTGTCGTGCTGCACCACTGTTTCATCAGCCCAGCACCAAGGGGGTTCTAGGACCTGACACTCCTGATCTGACCGCGGGAGACTCCATAGGTACGTAGTCACGGCACAAGATGGCGGCTCATGTCATAAGCTTCTGAAGCCTCGTGGTCCGTAGTCATAACATCAGACAACCAGATCCACCTACGTCAGCCTGGAGATTCTGAACACACACACACACACACACACACACACACACACACACACACACACACACACACACACACACACACACACACACACACACACACACACCAACACTATAACATTCAAATCCATATGCATCCATCATTGAGTTAGTCCTGGTAGATTGTTTGAATTCATAATTATAGAAATTAAAGATTCTTAAACGATCCCAACTCTCTCTTTTCTTGTCTCTCAGTCAATACAAGGTGTTTAAGTAAACTCCCTGATGATAAAAACAACCTCTTCTGATTATAATATCTGGATCTAATTACAATGTAAAAATACATTATTTTCCACTACAACAGTAGGCACAAAGACCCTGGAGCCAGCATCTTTCTCATTCTGAACGGGGCAGGCCTCCAAGGACCTTAGGTTCTGCGGCTTGTTGTTCCTCCGGTGGGGTTTGTGGAGTTCGGCGGGTAACAGAGCTGGGAGCCGTGGCAGTGCGAGGACACCCATCACCCGTTGGTCTATCTGGAGGGCCAGGTCGACGGTATCATCCAGTGTCTTCGTTGTCTCACGCCCCACCATCTCATCTCGCACATAGCCAGCAAGACCTTCCAAATAGACGGAACGGAGGGCGGCATCACCCCACGTCAAACCTGCCGCCAGTGT